GTCTATTTCATTTGCCAATTGTTAAAGAATCATTGCCAGTGGAACAGTTTAAAACAGTTATAGAAAACTGAGTTATCCCGGGCTGCGATCATGTGCAGTTTCGATCTGTGCTCGCCGCTGGAGCACCCCGAGCCGGCTGGTTTCGGGGCTAAGCCACCCTGTAGAGGTGGTGAAGAGGGAGGAGACTGCCAGCAGGGTCGAGGAGAGTCGCATCTCTCCTTCCCAGCTGGCCATTATTTCCTTTCCCAAAGGCAGTTGCAGTGGTCAGAAATGGCCACCTCAAAAAGAACTCAACCGGAAAAGAATGTGCAGGAGGAAGATAAGAAGAGAAAGTTTTGGCTGACCGGGTCAAACTGAAAAAGAAACAATATAAGGTAACTTGGAATTTGAATGATAAAAAAACACATTGTTCCCAAAGAAGACTTTGAAGCGGTGAATGAGAGAGGGAAGGGAAAGGATTTGGCTTTTTTTCTTTTCTTCCCTATATTGACAACTAAGAGATTTAAACAATTAAGCTATTCAGCTGTTAAGATCAACGTTGGAATCATAATACCATCTAATTTTTGTAGAGTTTATTTTCTTTCCTGAGAGATGCTTGTTAGAACTTTGTGAACGCTTCCACTAAATTATTGAGCTATACAATTTTAGCCTTATGTGCTTTGAAATTTTCTGTTTTTTTGTGGTTATTTGTGATACAAGGAGACAAGCTGGGAATATAGTGCTATATAAAAGAAAATTTTGGAAAGAAGTAATCTTAATATCTGTTCTATTTCCATATAGAATTTCTTGGACAAGAAAATCCACTTAGTATGAACTATAGACTGCCATAGATCAACTTTCACATGTAGATAAACAATAAACTTCACAGGCTTACCCTAATCTATGAGATTGTAACCTGAGGCTTGCCAAGAAATTGTGCTGTCAAGTGATATTGGATAAGTGTTTTTAGCATTTTAACAAGAACCAGATCATTTCATTTTTTTCTGGACACCGATGTCATGAAGCAGTGTGGAAGGAAAGACAGGGAAATGATGAAGTGCATGTGATCATCAGTAACATGCACTTAATAGCATATGAAAACTTTAAAGAATTCAGGTGGCACTTCATGAAGAAAACTTGGTATAACTTCAAATGTTTTCAATTACTGATGAAAAAGTGGCCCGTCCCAGGATTGGTCTTTGATTATGGCTGAAAAGTGATTGAAATTAAATTTAATAGATTTTAAATTTAATCATACATGAGCAGAAATAAGCAGTAGGGATTGTATACAGAAGACTTGTTGAGGTTGTGGAACCTGAATTTAAGTTAGGACTTGAATAGCAAAGCAAACTGGAATTCATCTTGGCTACTCCAGCTTTAATTTCCTAGAGTTTTGGGAACTTTGTCATAGTTAAAATGAAATAATGATAGGCTAAATCACATGTTGGTGATAATTGTTGGAATATATTGAGGTTTTATGAAAGGCAACTTCTTAAAATTCCAAAACTATTACTACAAGAATACCTTTAACCATAATAGAGACATAATTGTTAAAACAGATTTGGGACATTGGAATGAATTTGGGAAGAGTTAGGAACTGTGCTAGTTACATGACTGTTTGTTTTATTTTATTCCCTACTGCATGAAGGCAATGCTGAAAATGTAATAAAGGTTTGGAAAGCAACTTGGACTAAAATAATCCAAAATCCATGTTTAAAGCAGTATCTCTATTAGGCAGACTGAAGGTTCCCAAAACAGCATGCAACTTTCTGAGTTTCCAAGAACTATTAATCAGGCAAAAAGGTTAAACATACAGCAAAAAATAAAGAGTTGGCTAGGCAAAAAAATATATAACTTGTATAAAATCTGATTCAAATTATAGTGTCTGACAGAATGCTGAATTTGCAGGCATGCAAATTCAATTATGTTTGTTATTGAAGTGAGTTAGATTTTACTTTGTCTCCTTATATCATACTGTTTGGTGTGGTGGTTAAGGCATCAGGCTAGAAATTGGGAGACCATGAGTTCTAGTCCCACAGAGTCATAAATCAGGATGACCTTGGGCCAGCCACTGTCAACTCTAGAAAGCAGACAATGGCACAACCAAAATATTGCCAAGGAAACTGCAGGGGCTAGACCAGGCAGTCACCAGGTGTCAGAAATTGATTGAAAGGCATTCCAAAACAAAACAAAACACTTCCATGCAGGTTGCATAATGTAGCTATTATTTTTTCAATGAATACTTGCAAACTATGAAAAAAATTCTTGGCAATTTTAAATGCAATACAATTACTTACAACAAATTGTTCATTATTTTATCATTCTGCCTTAAAAACACTGTTTTGGTATGATCCTGGTAGAATACCCCTGAAGTAGATCAGATTGATTTTAAAGTCTCTTACTCTAATAAATGCTTGACCTCTGGGTCTCTTGAGTTCACTAGACAGGAGAACTCAGGAACCAATCACTTGGTGGAACATCTTATTCTGCAGCCCTCATTTGATAAAGGCCTTGACTGCTTCCAACCTTTTCAAGATGATTAGATGAAAGCTGCTCTCTCAAATTGAAAAGGTTAATCGACTACTGCGTGGTTAATCAATCACTTGAAAAGACTGAACACTAGTAGCTTCTTCTACCAGAGGTTCTTGTATAGTCATATGGAAACATCTACAGGTTAAAGAACAAACAAAACAGATAATCCTTTCTGTTTCTAGATGCCTCAGCCAAATCCCTTTTGGCAGTAATGGTTATTTAAAATGCTCTGTGTATATAACATTCCAAAGATAAAAAACAGTAAGAATGTTGTATTAGATCCGGCCATGACAACTGAATGTTAAACAGCAACAAGGTAACCCTAAAGGTACAGCTTCGCCTATTTTTAAAAGGCAGATACAGTAGGCTAGCAATAGACACTCTTGTATCCTCCAGGTATTTTGGATTATAGTCTCTACAACGTCTTACTCATACCATGCTTCAGCCAAAAGGAGTTGATCTAATAATTTAGAAAAAAGCAGGTTGTCTATCCCTGAAATAACCAAATTATTATTATGGGACATGTAGAAAGTGGATCCGTTATTGGATTTATGGGCACCAATCAATGCACTTAATGGAGGAAAGGATTAATCCATCTTCTCTAGACAGAATGCAGAACTTAGACTATTTACTGATGAGGAAATTCATCCTCTAAGGCAGGGCTGTTAAACTTGCAGCCCACGGACTGGATACGACACGTGCTGGCCATGCCTATGCCCAATTTAGTGAAGAGGAAAAAAATCCTGATATGTCACATGATGCTGTCATGACAACATGAGTTTGACCCCTGCTCTTAAGGTCACATGTATTGGTTTCAGCTGAAATCAATCTCCCTGAATTTCCTGACTTATAGGGAGGAATGAGCTGTCAGGTCATCAGCTGTCTATTTCCCTGTCTGTGCTTGAGATGTAGACTTAAGTTCTATGCATGTCCAGTTTATCCTCTGATTTGTAATATTCTAACTTTTAGCAGAAATTTGGCAATATGATCACTTTTCTGTAAAAACTAGAATGAATCTTGGATGTGAAACAGGAATTTAGCCTAGAACCACCATATTTTGGTGGAACTCACATAAAGCCTCCTCTTATTGAGAAGAACCCTACCTAGCCCCTAACTATTCTGGCAGCAATGGAAGCTCTTAAGAAGGTCATCTTCCATGTGAGGATATTGGTGGAAATCGGTCTGATGTACTCAATACAGAATAATAGCCAGTGTCTTGAAGGCCAAGGTAAAATGCCATAAATAGAAGTATATAACTGGGGATATAAGATGTGAGCACATTTGCAAAACATGGTGTATTTAAGGGGATCCCAAACAGAAGTCTGTTTGTTTATTCTAAATCCTTCTTATATCAATTGGAAATGGGAGGTGTAACCCTACGCTTCCTATCATAATCACACTTTATGAAAAGCAGATTCCATGAAAAGGGTATAACAATCCACATGATAAGCTCACTTTTCCCAAGAGGCTATTTACATTGTAGCATGGGGTCATAATCCTGGATCTATTGTAGTATATTGCAATATTATTTTTATGACCCTTGATTTCCATGAATAGATTGTGTATGTGAATCCTTTCCTCTGAAAATGTCCGTAATGTTGTTTTTACACGAGTCCTACTTAGCAAACTGTATGCAATTTTTTATGCTGGAGGTAGTTTGTCTAATAGAAATCCTTTTAATACAATTCATGAAACTTCCAGTAAGTAACAAGATCAGAAACCAAACTGAAAATATGTTCCAACCAAAATTAAGCTTTTAAAAGGATCTCAATAAAATATGCCTCTCTCTTGCTAAGAATTTAGAAGAACTTATGACTATACAAAATATTTTTCATGTGGTCACTGTAGACATGTATAAGAAGGATAACATTAAAATCAAAGGCAGCAAGGGAGTAACTGATTACCCATTCAAACTCATGCTATTCAAGTTATTTTCAGCGAGCAGTCATCTAATAAATTATCATTTATGGTTTGAGATAGATTATTTATTAATAAAACTTACTTAGATTTTATAAATGACAAGCTGATACACCAAAAATCTGAGTATGGATCACTGTTGGGGAAAGGCTATTTTTTTCATTTTCCTTGCTACAATCTTAGATTCAACTGGTGTTTGTGATTCCCTAGTTTATGGATTTGATTACTGTAAACTTGAGACAAAAGATTCTACGCCAGGGCAAGAAATTGGAAAGTTAAAAACAGTCCTCTGATATATGCCCAATCTAATGACCCATTTAGTCTACCCAATGGGCTGCTTGGTGCACATTAATTATTATAATATGGGAGAGAGTGGAGGAGGAGGAGGTGGTGGTTGGTTTTTTGTTTTCTTTCCTTTTCAACAATGTATATGATTCACTGAATACTGCATCCAAGTGCCCTGAGGAGTACTGAGCTGGGCATAGCATTATTTTGTAGAGTTGTGCTGAGTGCATCCATTAGAACAAGTCTTTAATTTTTCAAAACCATAAAAACATGCTCAAACAGTTAAATATTTAAAAATCTTGCAATTTTATTTGCATATAAAGGCCGCTAGATATATAATATCGCAATAAATTTAAAGAAACACCTGCTTTCCTAAATTCCATGAAGATAACATAAAACAGAAGAAAGCTCAATAGCATTTACAGTGATAGAACAGAAATAACTATCTGCAACAATATTTTGTGCTAGCAAGATTGCATTTACACACAGTGCAAAATAAGAAAAAAAGAAATGGAAAGACAATTCAATAATATTTTAAATATAAAGGACAACAAAGCCTTATTTTAGTTAGGCTTGATTGTATTTATTTGATTCTATACATGCCTGAAACTGCACAAAGATTTTAAACTCAAGCTCTTGAAGGCCTTGAGTGATTGGAAAAAAATGTATCACATCCTTCATAATTTAGATGTGCTATACAGCATAATTTTGGAGATGCTATGCTGGCAATATTATATGCCTTGCTTTGTTATAAAGCACAAAAAATATATATAAAAATCCGTATTTAAAAGCAGTCCACATTTACATGTTTTTACTGCATGGAACACCTGCTCATTGCAGTTTTCATTCCCATATTTTTTAAAACTAAAATAATTTAAGAAACTCACCCAAATTGGGACAATTTAGATAATCATATACAGGATGTTGCTATCTAACTGATCATTAAAGCAGGCAGACAAACTAAACCTAGAAAGCTATTTTCCCTCACTACTGCAATACCATTAATAAGCAGAATTTCATAGAACGCATATGTATCAATCAAAAAACTGATCCCTGATCTAGCAATCAGCTGTGGACAGAGGAGCTCTGATGGGTAAAAATTCTTCCAGATCAAGAATTCTTTTCAAGAAAGAAAGATGATTCACTGAAATGAATAGAGAATCCACATCCAGCTTAATAACTCCATGACCACAGCCTTGCACAGATGTAAGCATATCTAGAACTATCAATTCCAGAAGTTTTCAACATACTTCACTGAATATTGAATTGTGAAGTGCATTTGCACACAGGGACATATTCCAACCTCTGATTCATGGAACATATACATGCTTATAAAAATGAGGAAAGAATGGCATTTTATCATTGGAGATCCCCCCCCCAGAAAACAATAAAAGTTGTGCAAATTTGGATCTGGGTGTTTTTTTTTAAACAACGCCTTTTATAATCTTATTTAATAATATTAAAATAAGGTGTCTCACTCATTAAAAGAAAGCTTGGCTGTCCTTTTGAGAACACTAACAATTTACAATGGCAAGTTAATTAAGAGAACATAAAACTTCATTTTACAAATTCACAAAGTTTTATCAATTTTCAAATGGATGCTGCATTTCCAAAAGGAGAGAGAGAGAGAGAGAAAGAGAGAGAGAGAGAGAGAGAGAGAGAGAGAGAGAGAGAGAGAGAGAGAAAAGCACAACCCCTATCTTTTTTTTTCTGTAACAACAATTTACAAAAAAGCCCTACATTATTTGTAAAGAAACATGTTAAGAGAATGAATGTTTTGTAATTAGAAAAATGGCAGTTTATAGACCTTCCCCAATGGAGTAGTGGTCTTTCATGATCCTTGTGGCGTTGGCAGGTCAAATATAATTGGTGGGTTAGTTGGCTGAAAGCTGACTGTACACGTTGAGGCATTAATATATGTTGTGTAACCATCTGTCATAATGCCATAACCTGTAGAGAAAATGTGTCACATTTATTGTGATGCAAACAAACATTGACCTAGTATAATGCCTCAGTGACAAAAAGGAGGAGGAAATATTTTAAGCACACTTTGGAAACTGCATTCAGATAAACCTTTAAATGTATTTCCAGTAAACTAAAATCACCCATATAACTTTCCCTGGGTTTTTAAGCAATAAAATTTTGCTTTAATATGAATTTTTAAAAGTTAAGGTGTCTTTGTTTTACATTATAGGAATTATTTCTAAACTTGATTTTAAGTTCATGATATGTAAAGTAGAACCATGATGTAAAACAATGCTTAATTTAATTGGTGTTAACACCTCTTTCATTATATTGGCAATTTAGCGACCTGATTTATCATGAAGTCACTTCAGAGAACTTGTCAAAAACTTCTCATTGCCTCCCAAACATTTCTTAAATTCAAATTTCATCCAGATTGTCCACAAGTCCATTAGATTCTTGTCTGTGTATTTCATCAACGTTTCTTTTTTTTTGGGGGTAGTACTATTTAAAGCAGAGGTTCCCAACCCGTGGTCCGTGATCCACTGCTGGTCCATGGCCTATTCACAACTGGCTGTGTGAGTGGTGGGAGAGGCGTGCACAACCCCACTCATGTGAGAGATGGGTGCCGACACTCACAGCTGCACTCATGCAAAGGCTCACAGCCCCAACTTTACAAATGAAGTGGGAGAGGTTGGTGAATGCTAATTTAAATACAATGAACACAGAACATAAATATGTTCCCCTTTGTTCAACGACCTTTTCCATTGCAGGTGCTAAATATACGTGGCATAAGTTTCTATCAATAAATTGATGGGAAAATGGCAAAAAAAGGAGAATCAAAGCAGAGGACTACTTTTCTAAGATGTAGAACGTGGTGCTGTGATGTCGCCTTTTGCTTTATTGCTGATTACAAAGACTAAAGGGCACCAGTGTGTGGGCTGGTATAATTTTCTACTTATTCTGAAATTTGTCAACAAGGCAGGACAATGCTGAATGATGTTGAAACTCTTCCCAGCATGCTCCTTTTTACTCTCTTCAGGGTTGGATCTTTCTTCAGGCTCACAAAAGAAGCTTAAAAGCTCTGATTCAATTTTCCATGATCAAACCATTCTCTTCATCTTCAGAAGATAGAAAGAACTTAAAAGCTCCCACAATGCCATCCTCGGCATTAGAAGACTCTCTAGCAACTTAGACATTACATTATATGTGTGTCTTGTGTGTGTGTCTTTGTGTGGCAAAAAAGCACATAAGAGCATGGCTACACTTCTCCAGTGCTGGTAATACTGTCAGGATATTGGATCTATAAAGAGGGTGACCTCTTTTCAATATGCTGTCCCAGGATTCTATGCAACGTACTTTCAAGTTTTCTGTTTTTAAATGTATGACCTTCTGTTAATTGTCCAGAATTGCATGGTGAATGAGAGTTCATACCAACTTAAATAAATAGGTGAGAAAGATATTTGTAATTTTACTCATCAAAAGCCAGATTAGTGAGTTTAGTGGCACCTAAAAGTTTAAATGTTAGAAGAACCAGTGAAACTGTAGGAAATACTGTTTTATATTACTCATTCTATATATTCAGTGCAAATCTTTGCAATTAATAATTGAGGCACTGAGGGCTAAATCTATGCTTCTGAGAACAATTATTTCACAATTGCTGTATGAGCAATCTCCCTCTCTCTTGCTCAAAAAAAAAAATCCTTTTGAGTTGTTTTTAAAATAGATCCTCTATGTGATCTGTGATTTTGTTACTTGATAAATAATGAAAAGCTGAAATCGTCAACAGTACTCAAGTGCTTGTCCTAAATAATGTACGGGATACATGAACATTTATAGGTTAAACTATGAACTGAATTAAATGGAATATAATTTTGATTCTGCTTCAAAGAGATGTACTGAATATATATGGATATACGTGTGTGGTCTTAAAAATAAGGTATAATAGGGCATTTGATGTTTAAGTTGTAATAATAATATAACAACAACATAGTAATAATAGTATTTTGATGAGAAGTTTCATTATGTTGGAGGAGATCTACTCATATAAGTAGAAACTGTTATCATCTCAATGCTCTTGAATACTGATTAAATCTCTTTTATAGTTGAAGTGTGTGTTACCAGCCTAGTCATAAACTTAAATTGTATAATGCTGAGCCTCACAGTAGCTTTCCATAATGATCTCTCCATCAGCTAATTCTATTATTAGTGGAAGTTTGATTACTTTCAATGTGGAAGAGAACTACAAAAGCTGCAGGCAGTTTCCATGCTCTAATAAAATATTTGTTTCTTCAGTCATTTACTTAACATTAATACCTAAGCATCAGTATTTATACAAAATTGTACAGTTTACCTTACTTTTTTTTTACATGGATGCTGCTGTGTTTAAGGGCTAGTCAGTACTTCTCATTACAAAAACCTATTTGAAAGGCTTTATATAACACTGGTATAAAAATCTAGTTGCTTTAAAATAATGCAAACTAGCGGGAGGGGAAGCAACGGTACCAATCAACTGGACATCTTGTGTTTTATAAAGTTCTCCAGAGCTGCATGCTTACAGAGAGCTTAATTAAAGACTGTAAAAAATTTCCACAAAACAAGGGTACAAAATATAAAGCATTAAAATATATATACTTTTTAGCTCTGGGTCACAACATTGCTCTCTCTCTGCTCTCTAAGGCAGCATTTGCAGTATTTGTCTCACTGGGATATAAACGCGACTAAAGTTCATTAAATATTTAAAACTCTTGCTTAGTTTATTTGAAGGAATTTTTCATTACCCCATAACCAGATTTGTGTGCTAGAAATGTCCCTGCTTTTAATTTAACATTAAAGCAGGATATTTTGAAAAGCTTATCTAAAAAATACACATGCTATTTAAAAACATCTGAAATTTAAACCAGATTATAACTCCACACACATCCACACACCCACTTCACTTGTTATTTCTTCATCTGCTCTGCTATTTGGGCTTATGTTGTTCACATCTTGAACTTTCTATAAAAAACATATGCAGAATGAAACTACTTGCTGCAAATGTAAATGATCTCTTTTATCCGAATGGCTTTAAATGATTTAAAGATGTTACTCATATTTGGAAATTGTACAAGATTCTTAGGGAAGCTTCAATGCCCAGAACAACATGGACAAAAGCCATAAAGTGGGCATTGTACAGATAGTCCTTGACTTATGACCACAATTGAGCCTAAAATTTATGTTGTCAAGTACATTTGTTAAATGAGTTTTGCCCCATTTTATGACCTTTCTTGCCTCAATTGTTAAGTGAATCACTGCAATTGATAAGTTAGTAACTCAATTGTTAAGTGAATCTGGCTTCCTCACTGACTTTGCTTGTCAGAAGGTCACAAAAGGTGGATCACATGACTTTGGGACATAGCAATGGTCATAAATATGAACCATTTGCCAAACATCTAAACTTTGATCATGTGACCAAAGGGACACTGCAACAGTTGTTAAGTATAAAAAAACAATCATAAGTCACTATTTTGAGTGCCATTGTAACTTTGAATGGTCACTAAATGAACTGTTGTAAGTTGAGGGCCACCTATATTTGTCTACTACATGTAGCATTTATCAGGATGGTAAATAACTTGGTAGAATCAAGTCTGTGCTTTCCTATTATTGACTCAAATGGCACCAGGCCACTTCCTGTGACACACAGTTCTCCTTACCTCCTCCCATTGTTTCATCTTCAGCTATAGTATTGGTTTAAATGTCAAATTTTCTATCTCATACATAATCAATTTTTTAAAAAATAACTTCATTCTACTTGAAACCCCTTTTGTGACATAAAGTACAAAAAAGAATGACTCTAATGTTTTCTCATCAAAAGGCATCTTATTTCATGGATTGCTTACCTTCATGGATACCTCCAAAGACATGGAGTTTGGGTCTTACTCGCCTTTGTACAGTGTTTAGCAACTCCACACAGCCAACCCTCTGCAGCTCCTTTGGAACCCAGTCTCGAAATCCTAAAAGTATGATAAAATTGATTGCCTTACTTTTCTTTATGTAGATGAAGTTTAATACAGACTTTCAGGAAGCAATAACTGACAGAGGGTTTACTCCACTATCTATAATTCTATCACCATTATAATATACAGTGGCTTTTAAGAAACTTTGCATTGACACAATGATTCTTTTAAAATTATGGGCAGTATTCTTTTTGAATTCTACCTCTGCTTTCCCAAATAATATATTTTGCTACACAATTTAATTAAGCATTATAAATTGCACAGATTCATCTACATAACACTAGGCTGCTAAATAAAATAAAAATTCTTGGTAGTGGTGCACCTTGTCAAATTTCCTTTGCTTTTTCTTTAATGGTGTTTGCCAATTGATCAGATAATGATGGCTTACAGAGTTACATTCTCTAAGCACTTGATATTTCACCTATTAAGGTAAAGATAAAGGTTCCCTTCACACATATGTACTAGTCGTTTCTGGCTCTAGGGGGCATGCTCATCTCCATTACAAAGCCGAAGAGCCAGCGCTGTCCAAAGACGTGTCCGTGGTCATGTGGCTCAAAGGCGCACAATTACATACATACAAAGCAACTCAGTGCAAAATTCACTTATGAGTGGGCTCATGTGAACTGGCCCTATGTCTTGAAATCTAATGGGCCTTAAGAACAATGTGCATACACAGAACATTTCCTGATATATGAATATCTTAGGCAAAACTATGTAATATGTTTTGTAAAACTTATACTGGCCTTTCTTATTTTTGGTATCCTCCATGCTTCATGGGCAACTGACCTCCCCCCAAAATGATTGTGAATGGTGGATCCAATATGTCTGATGTGTCGTGCTGTGTAAAGGAGGGCATGTTAGCCCAATCAAAGCACCCCTTCTTAAAACTTAGTTCCCTAGAAGATTTCACACTGATGCTTTTCCAGATTGCCTCGGCATCATTCTGTGCATGCAAGCACAGTGATTGAATTTTTTCAGCAATCCCAATGAAAGTGTTGCCCATGCTTGTATGTACAGACAACCTGGAAAAGCTGTCCAAACAATAGTGGTGAATATTCCAGAGGATGCAGCCAAATCAGTTTTTCAAGAACAATTGCTTGGCTTGAGCCATTATATTTCAAAAAGTCTTGCTTACATTGCCCTATTAAAGAGTGGCAGATTGTGAGATGGCTACTTTCTTACTGTGGCCCTTTTACGACAAATCTAGGAGGAAGCACCATTATGTGATTCTGTACTATGGAAATGCAGTGGGTTTCCCAGCTGAAGTGAATAAAGTACTTTTGCATATGGTCACTCACACACTGATAGAAACTACAAAATCAGCATAATAACTATTACTTCCATATGGCAAAGTGGTAGGAAATCTAGTTTTATAAAATCATTACCTGAAAAATATGTAATTAAGGAAATCAAACAAATATAAAACCAGATGACTGTGTTGTGTCCAAAGATATCAACACTAACATCCACACAAAAAACTTGGTTTTTTAGAAGAAACACAGCAGATAAAGAAAAATGGTTAACATATCAGGGTCTATAAATACAAGACAAGGGGGAATTGTCTTGTCAAAAATGAGAGAAGTAGGAGAAGGACTCTATTTGCAAAGGTTTTCTTATAATCAGCTAAGATTATTGGAATCAAGAAGAGGAAAAGTGAATTTGAACTAAAACGATGTATAAATGATGGTCATATAATAGTTAAATAAGTATAAATTGTTATTAAGGTTTGAGGATAAACAGCTAAAAGACCATATGATGAAATGGACTACAAATGTTGATTATAAGAATTGTTTCTATTGTGTTTGTGGATAATGGACAGAAAATAATATGGGGCAACTAATATAGTATATAGTAATGTAGCAAGATTATAATGAAATACACACAGTGCAATATTGGATTATAAAATTGATTGAGCTTGTGACAAAGTTGACCATTTTGGTCAGGGGGAAAAATAATATTTTTTTTTTAAAAAAAGACTGAAAGCCTTATATGGCCTTTTTGTTGAAAGAAGAAAAGACTGGAATGATGATTTGTAGACTTGGGGATTAAATGGGATCAAAAAGTAAAGGGGAAGAAGATGATGTCTTGATTGCAGAGTCCTATGTGCTTTCTAAGATTGATTGTTAGCTTGAAAGATGTTTCATTACCCAACTAGGTAACATAATCAATGCAGTGAGTGGTATGGAGTTTATTCCCTATTTACTTATCTTTAGCTTGCCCTGTCAGTTTTAGTGGGTTTTTCCTTGGTAATTCCTAGTTTAGGCTAATGTTTTCTGCCTGATTGTTTGACTGATGCTAATCTTGGGGTTGGCTGCTGGAAAGGACATGTTCAGGTCTTTCCTTCTTAACTTTTGTATTGCTTCTTAAATGGTTTGTAAATATGTTTTATTTTTATGTGCCTACTAATGGTTGATTTCTCTGAATGCCAAGCTTTCAAGAATTCCCTAACATTCTTTCAAGAAATGCCTAACATTTTTGGAGTTAGCTTGTTCTAGAATGCTCACAGTTTCCATGATTGCTAGATTAATATTAGGTCTGTGAGATAGTCCAGTCAAGAAAATCAGGAGTGCTATCTCTATCTTTATTATATGATTACATTACCAAAATCTTGCAGGACTTGAAAAAAAGTATTTCTCCCATCCTTTCCTTTTACTTTCCATAAAACTAGGGAGAGTCCCTTCTAAGAGTTCCTTTCCCATGTCATCCCACCTTCTGTGGATGAGACATATTTTACATGCTGGTTGTTCCATCTGCATCTTTCCCTGTTGTTTCCTAAGGTCATTTCCTCTACCATTATACCATCAATTTCAAAATGTGGGCATTAATATTTAATTCCCTAAATTAAACTGTGGTTAAAGTATGTAAAAGATTGTCTTCTCCCATATATACCAATGCAGATTGACAATTTTCACAGGCCTTTTTCTGAGTGTTCCTACCAAATGAGATGTAATAATCTGCTAAGGAGACCTGTTCAAAAGTGATAGGAGCTGTGGAGTATATGCTTTAGTGCTTTTATGTTGTGACCATTATTGTTTTTAATATTCCTCTTGTATTTTAACATTGTACAGTTTAATTATCTTTCTATACTCTACTCAAGGGACTCTGATAAGGGTATGGTACAAAATGTGGTAAACAAGTAGGTGCAGTATATATCAGGCTTGGTAGGACTGCATAACACAATAGCCATTATAATTTTGTGGTATGTTTACACAGAGCTCTGTCATCATTTTGGGTATCTCATGTTTTACAGCATTATAGCTGATATTGCTAATACCATTCTGTACATACCCTGCATGAAGACGTTAGTGTAAACTGTACAGTGGATGTACTTAACTGCCTTTTAGACTTCTCTAAAGAAAAGAATGCTGAAAAAGCCTGCTATCTTACTTTACATTAATTCTTCTCCATTATTTTCTCTATGTTACATTGGTGCAAATATGTGCACACTTTTAAATATATTCTTTTCAATCTGCAGATGTTATACAGATTTTGCAATGCAAAATCTTATTGCACCACCAATATTTACTGTCATATGGAAAGAGCGGTTGAGAAAGATGGGAATGAAAGAGACACAGCCAGCTGGATTTATAAAAAAAATATAGGCTGCAGTTTTAATGGTTACAGCAGGGCCCACACAGAGCACAAATCTGTTTTATACAACTCACTCTCTCTGCACCAGGAAGTCAGTGCACAGGTCAGTTGCTGTTTACTCTTATGCTATAGGAAAGGACTCTTCATGTTATGACAACATAAAGGTAAGTCACTGGTTAGGAATTTCTGTCTTTAGCAGGGAAAACCAAAGAAGGATACTGTATTATTAGATATACAAAGATCCATTGGTAGAACTCTGGATGACTTGCAACTGATTGCTTATTTAAATACAGCAAATAAAACTGCAAATTCTCAGTTTCACTTTCTACTTTACTGTTTCTCATCTGATACATATTGCGATTAATTATGTGCATAAAGGCTGGACAAACGTTTCATACTGAAATGTTCAAAGTATAGAATTTCATGTGTTCTGCTCTGAATGTGAAATAGGCTGTTTTGGGCACTATGAATTATTTTGCAGCTTTAGAAGCAGTATTTAAAACCACAGGACTTGCTTCAGAGACCCAAAACATAAGACAGACAATGATACCACACACCAGAAGAACACCAAAGTAGAACCAACTCAAAGCAGAAGACAGAGCAGCCCCCAAAAAACAAAAGAAAGACCAAACCAAGCTCCCAGTAGACAAAGGACAAACCAAAGTTATCACGGACAGAATACAATATACAGGTCATCATGGGTCGAACACAATATATACAAAAAGCCAAAGAATTACTGGAAGACAAAGAAACCTACATCTGAATACATACTGAACCAATTCAGAAACTGCACAATACAATCAAGATAACCTCAATAATCTAACCATGAAAGGTCAAATAACTAAAGAAGGATGGGGGCAAATGATAATCAGTGAACCTATCCTGCCATGCTTCGATGGTTATCCCAAAATACACAAGGCCAACATATCTCTTACTCCAATTGCATCATTGCCATGGACTTCAACATACAACATAGTTAAGAAACTTACAAAAAAGCTTGATATCTCATAGAAGGGAGTAAATATTTTATTAACCTCCCACTACAATGCTTCCAGAAAAATCAAAGCTTTAAAAATTGAAAATGAAATCATGGTTCATTCGATGACACAGCTTTCTTACATCTGTATATTCAGAACTAATGAAAGAATCTATGGCAGCAGTATTATGCAACATGACTGACCTAGCCAAATACACTAAAATCAAAATATCCATAATCATGGACCTCATTTGCCTCACTAGCTACTTTCAGCTTGGTGACAAATATATCAACATTCATGAGTTCCACTCCCAGGACTCATAACAGAGAGTCCATTTCAGCATCTAGAAACTACAGCACTCCCACTCACATAACCAAAAACACTGAACCAGTATGCACAGTAGATAACACCTTCATCATCATAATAAACAAATAACTAAAGAAGACACATGAAATTATCAGTATCTTCAAAGAAATGAAACTCACAAGAGAAGAAGAAAAACCCCACACTACCCTTCCTAGCTATCCTTATCAGTAGAAGAAATGATAGCAAACAGTGGAAAAACAGTCCCCTTTACAGCCCATTCTCTAACAAGTGCTCAATCGTGTAAGAACATTATTCAGATGAGTACACAAAATTGTTAAGATGCTGCAACGAGAACATCAGAAAAAGGAAACAGACTGCCAATACAACAACTTTCAACAAAATGGATACCAACACAACTTTATCAGAATGCTTGACCTTACCACAGCACAACCAACACAACCTATGAAAAGGATAACTATGACACATCAAAAACATCTCAGTAACAATCAACAGACTACTACAATTGCATGGCACTACCATAGTATGCAAACCAACTAAAGTTCTCCAAAACATTTTAAGTAAGCCAAAAGACCCAGTAGCCCAAGGAAAAAAACAGGGATCTGTATATTATAGACTGGAATAGTCACTATGTAAGAAAGGTAGGCAGAAAACTAACAGAATGCCTCTATGAATACTTACTAGCAATAAGAACACATAATGAAAACTCCTTAATCTTACAATATATGGACAAACTCAACTGAAAACATCCTAGACCAACCTAAACCTAGGGAATTCCTAGAAGCTTGGCACTGAGAGAAATTAGCCTTCAATAGACACAGAGAAATAAAGCATATTTATGTACCATTCAACAGAAACAATAAAAAAGCTAAGAAGGAAACAAAAGGACCGGAACATATATTCAACCACCACGTAGATAAGCAGAGATTAATACCAGGCAAACAATCAAGCAGAAAACCATATCCTAATTAAGGAACTACCAAAAAGAAAACCACACCTCTAACAATACTGATAGGGAAGTCTACAGTATATAAATAGAGAACAAATCCCACACTTACTCACACTGATGATAATACCTAATCAGATAAAAAAACATCTTCAAGGAAACAACTAAGCTCAGAGCACCAAGGACTCCACAGTTCAACCCTGAGCTACAGATATTCTCTTCTAAGATGTCAATTACTTGATAGAAGGAAAAGCAGAATTCATAATTCTTTTTGTTATTTCATTTTTTTCTCTATTATTTTTCTTATTCTTTTAATTTTGTATACTTTGATTGTACTGAAAATGTTTATTAAAAAGACAATAACTATAATTTCCAGAAGAACAAGCTCTACCAATACTTTTTTAGTTTTGAAACTGTATAAGTAAAATTGTAATACAGGAAAATATTAAAAGGCTCTAAGGAAAGTAGTAATTGACTACTATTAAAAAGAAAGCCATTAAGGTCTATAGGTAATGAAAAAAGTCAATAAACCTGACATCAATTATAGCAAAGGTTTGAGATCTAATATTCTGCATTTATAAAGAGTAAAGGGATAAGAAAGATCTAAGAGAAGGAAGAGCTAAATCAAATATGAATGGTGGCTGCATATTCCGCCTTAATATTATTTAAGCAACTTCAGAGGTCTTTTTACCTGGGTCAAATTTGGTTAATTCTACATTACAGCACAGTGAACCTTTCAGTTGGTTCCTATGGTTATGTCTTACCTAAACAATCTAACCCATGTGTACATTTTTACAAATTTTGGCATAATGCTTACAAACACAAATTACAATCCAGTTTGCTAAGAACTGCATAACTAGTCTAATTTGCTTGTTTGTTAAATTTATATGCTGGGTTTTCTTCTGGAGCTCAAGGTCCTGTATACAGCATTTCCTCCTCACATTTTTCCATGCAACTACTCTGTGAGATAGTTTGAAAAAGAGGGGCTAGCTGAAATTTCCCTTTTTAAAAAACTCTGTAGTAATTACATCCACAATGGAGTAGAAGTACCCTGATGGCTTGCAAGTGATAACGATGTTATCATGTCTCACTCTTGGCAATTCTATGAGCCAGGTCTCTGCACATCTTCTGATCTTGCACTGCTTTTTTGAGTTTTTCTATGCTCTGGCTGGTGTCAACTTTGATGGTGTCCAGCCATCATGTTCTTTGTCAGTCTGGTTTTCCTTTTACCGCTTTCTCAGTGAATTCCCCTCCATGACATGGTCAAAATAAGTAAGGCACAGTTTCATGATTTTGCCTTCTAGTGACATGTCTGGTGTTATGATCTCTAGTACTTGCTTGTTAGTCACCTATGCTACCCAAGGAATACATAGGAGTCTTCTCCAGCACCACAGCTCAAACAAGTTGATTTTCTTCCTACCTTGCTTTTTTAAGATCCAATTTTCACAGTCATACGTTTGGTTGCCCGGCTGATGTTCTTGCTTTTTTTTTCATACTCACTTCATGTTCATAATTGCTGCGTGACCCAGTGAAACCCAATGTTTTATTTCTGGGCTGCATTCACAGTTTTGAGTGTTCTGCAATCCTAGGAAACTTTTCCATTCATTCAATCTCTTCATTATCAATTTCTATTTTGATGTTTCCATTCCTTACAGTAGTCATAAGCTTGGTCTTTTTCAAAAAGAGACCAACATTCTAACCTTTTTTTAAATCAGATGTTCCAGGTCTTCTTTGGTTTCTGAGAGTAGAGTTGTATCATCAGTGTATTTACCTTGATTTTTTATTATCAAGATATAGTTTCCTCATGATCATTTCAGCATGAAGGTTGAATAAGAAGGGGGGGGGATCCCACCTTGTTGCACACCTTTCTCTATCTCAAACCAAACAGTGTCTCCATATAGTGTTTGCACAGTGGTTTTCTAATTTGTGTACAGTGATGGTACCAACTTGAAGATGTACTTGTACCCCAAGGTCTTGTAGGGTTATCCATAGCTTCTCATGATCAACAGTATTGAAGGCTTTCTTGTAATCAGTGAAGCATATGTAATCTTTTGATTTCTACGATGTTTTCCCCATGATCTAGTGCAGATTTACAATATGGTCAAAGGTGCCACAACCCCTTCAGAAGCTAGCTTGGATAGCTGGTAATTCCCTTTAAGCAGAATCTTGCTGATGTGAGGGATAAGAGCCATTGTGCAATAATTGAAGCAATCTTTAGAGTCACCCTTTTCGACAGTTGATTGAATGAGCACTTGCAGGCAGAGGAAAGCAAACAACCCAAATAGGGAGGGCGGGCAGTGACTGCCTGTCAGTGGGTTTGGTGATGGCTTGCAAGAGGAGGAAAAGTAGCAGAGTTAATGGAAAAATATTTTGGACTGAGAGTGGGGGGGGGGAGAGAAGGGACGGAAAGGCCGCTGATGATAAGACCTGCCATTCATACATTGCAGCTTCTGCCTAGAAGCTACTTTTCTCTCATTTTGATGTCCTAAATGGTCATAGAAGTAAAGCTGACAGTTTGGCTTCTTCCAATAGAGTAGTTCTTCTCTATTACAATTGGACAATTGCCCTGGAAATTTTTCTATAGCTGACCTCAGCCTTTTGATGCTGGCTTTTAAATGAGGATGCCAGAGCAAAGCAATTTCCATACTGCTATAATGTATAAACAGTGCCAAAGGAAGGGTGAAGCAGTGCGATCTCTGGAATGCCTGGACAATATGGATTTTAATGTGCTCCCTATTATCACTACCATCTCTTCACAGATCCTATTTTGGGCAAGAATTCAAAACCTCATTAAAAAGTGTGGTTTTTTCAGGAAAAATTATTTTCTATATCACTGCAAGAGCCATGGTGGCACCGTGGTTAGAATACAGAATTGCAGGGTAACTCCACTCACTTCCAGGAGTTCAATTCTGACTGGCTCAAGGTTGACTTAGTCTTCCATCCTTCCAAGATTGGTACAATGAGGAGCCAGATTGTTGGGGGCAATATGCTGACTCTGTAAGCCACTTAGAGGGGGATGTAAAGCACTATGGAGTGGTGTATAAGTTTAAGTGCGATTGCTATTTAAAGTGGAGATTTAATTTCCTTCCAGAATGTTGCTGCAGATCAGCAAAAGGAATTGATGCATGAATCAGGTTTTACTTTGGAGAATTCAGCTGGTGATACCACTGCATATAGTAGAATTGAAAAGTCATCTATTCTCTCCCATTTGCCCTTGAATCAATCAATCGCTATCAATCTATCTGAATGCCCTTAACGTCTGGGCTAAAGCATACGCACTGAGAGCGATCTTAGTTTAATTGTGATACTCACCAAGAGGAGGCCCATGGGTCATTAATATATCTATGCCTTCAGGAATAAGGTTCCACTTGTCCAACAAAGATTGACCTCTGGGTAGATTAAAACCCCATCCATTAAACCATGGTGTCCTATGAAGGAAAGAAAATAAATTTGTGCTACTATGGAAGAAGGATTTATTTCTTTTTCACAATTATACAACAAGGTACATTTTCTCTTGCTAGCCCTCATTCAGAACGAAAAATAAAGAATAGAAGAAAACCTCTGATACTGAAGTAGTTCTAAACCATAATCATATTAATCCAGCATGACTGCCAATCTCTAAGTAAGGAAAGGATGGATGTTAAACATTCTTTTGATCAGATAGGTGTTTCTTAAAAACATAAAAAGCATAATACAGTAATTCCAACAATAAAAATTGTAATTACTTTTTCCATAAGGCACTGATACATAAATTATTCTTATAGTAATTGAAAGTCTATCTTAAATTTATATTTGGCATTTGAGTTTTGATTTGGTATTGTAATGGTAGGCAATAGAATTTTGACAAATCAATGCAGAATCTCCATCGCTCTTGCTATAAATGTTTCTGGGTGCCAAAAACAGGAAGTCTCTTTAATTGCAACTTCTTATCCCAGGGCAATAGATCAAATAATTTAAACTCTTGATATCATCAACCTGCTTTACATCTAACCTTCTAGTATAACAAATCGATCTGCCAAGGCACCATTACATTTAATAATTCTGTCAGTCCCTTTAGGTAAGCAGATCTCTGAATGGGCTGGGGGGGGGGGAAATCAGGTAACTCAGTGTCCTTTTACCACCCTATTTAATTCATGCTAATTGCAAAAGAAAGGTGGTCATCTCTATCAGTATGGGAGACAATTCAGTCTGGATGGTAAAGAAGGGAGAGATGATCTCTTCCGTGAATGCACTTAATAGAAAGAATTCCTTGAATCAGCTTGGCAAGCAGTCAAAATGGAAATACAGCACTGAAATTCAGATAACTGAGCTCGTTTGCAGATTAATGCATTTTGTAAGTATATTTGCAAGAGTGTATTAGAAGCTTCATTTTCCACTTCCTTGCATTTCTTTATTTTTGCACTGACACAGGACCTGTAATTTACATATAGATTTGACACTATAGTTGAAGATTTCTTCAACTGCATTGGCACAAATTAAGTAGTTGGACTGCTCAATTCACTTTAATAATTCTAAAAGTTCAAACTGCAGATTGGTGGCTTATCTTTTCATTTGTCAAATCCCTTTGTATCAACATAAATGCAAAACAAGAACAGTAGCATTTGTTGCCTCTAATCAAGATATTTTATTTTTACCGCAAACATTACTAGGGTTTTTAGTAAAAACCTGTAGTACTAAAGCTAATTTATTCAGTTTCAGAATTGTGTATAGGCATCCTGAATCATGTTTTGGAAAAAGGCAACTGTGAATCTTATGATTGCCAAAAATCCTACATGGACATAGCTGTGAAATCATCAGGAGTTGAGCTCAACTGAAAGAACATTGCTTTTTCTAGCAGCTATTAAATATTTGCTTTATTGCCCAGCTCATGAATAGTGTCTTATCTCTAGCTCTAATCTGATAACAACACTGCAAAACCTCTTTTTATGGTAAGATGTGCTAAATATTATGGACAAAACATTTTGTTCATGATCTGATGTCAAACCACAGCTGAAGACAATGTTAAACACAGAAAATAGTTATCTGTAGAGAGGGCTAGAAAGATCACCACCAGATGGATTTGCAACTGGCTGACAAAACCATAGTCAACAAGCACTCCTTAATGGTCCTACATCTACATGGAGGGAAGTATAAGCAGTGGAGTAACACAAGGTTCCATCTTGGGCCAAGTACTCTTCAAATATCTTCATATATGACTTAGATGAGCGAATAGATGGGAACTCATCAAATTTGCAGATGACACTAAACTAGTAGGAATAACCAACACCCCAGAAGACAAGTTCTGGATCCAAAAAGATCTTGACAGACTTGAAAAATGGGCCCTATCTAACAAAATGAAATTTAATGTGGAGAAAAGCACTGTTTTACACTTATGGAGGAAAAACCATAGATGCAAGTAGAGATTAGGCGAAACCTGCCTCAAAAACAGTAACTGTGAGAGAAATTCTGGAGTCCTAGTGGATGGTCAATTAAATGTGAGCTAGCAGTGTGCGGCAGCAGCTAAAAAAAGGCTAATAAAATTCTTGGTTGTATAAACAGAGACACAGATTCAAAATCACATGACATATTAATACCATTTTATAAATCCTTAGTAAGACCACACATGGAATACTGTATCCAGTTTTGGTCACCACATTACAAAAAAAAAAAAAAAATGAAACTGGAAAAAATGAAGACAAGAACAACTAAGATGGTTAAAGGGCCGGAGACTAAAACATATGAAGAACAGTTGCAGGAATCAGGTATAGCTAGTCTAGAGAAAAGAAGGACTAAGGGTCACATGATGGCTACCACAAAGAAGATGGGGCCAACTTATTTTCCAAAGCACCAGAAGGCAAAGCAAGAAACAATGGATGGAAACTAATCAAGGAGAGAAACAACCTGAAATTGGAGAAACTTCCTAACAATGAGGACAATTAACTAGTGGAACAGCTTGCCTTCAGATGTTGTGGATGTTTCATCACTGGAGGTTTTTAAGAAGAGACTAGACAGTCACTTCTTTGAAATTGTATAGGGTCTTCTTTTGACCAGGCGGTTGGGATTAGAAGACCTCCACGTAACCTTCCAGCTCTATTCTGATGATTGATCATAGACCCGATGGTATAGTGGTATATGCAAGGCTGCGATATTGGAAATGGTAGTTGACTGGAGGGGGAGAATGAATGAACCGGGAAGTACACCTCTGCGGACGATAGTGCAAACAGCCTATTATTAGAAAAGGATGCAGAATTGGTAACATGCATTAGTGTTTTGATATTGTTCTGCAAAATTACTCCAGGATTCAACCAAACAACTTTTAAAGTTTTGTTTCTGCCAAACTGCAGCCTAATCTGAAATGGTTTGGAAAATCACCCAAATGAATGGACGTTTTAGATTTTTTTTTTTTTTTTAAAGCCTATTTTCTGTTTGTGCATCCCTGCTGAGTCTACATAATAAAGCATCTTCTGCAAAAGTCTCATGAACAATTACAAAATACTATATATGAAAACAAGCCAAAGTACCCTGAGATTAAAATAAGGCCATTTGGGGTTGCTCTTAATGATTATGTATTGTTACTAATTAAAGACATTTGCTTTATACTGTTCTCATGTATTGCAAAGAAAAAGAAGCTTGTTAGAAAGTCAGCATGGTATTTTTCTCCCAGAACAAAGGCAGTAAAACTGAGATTCTGGAACAGATTTAGATTTCAGTGAGAACAAAAGAACAGGTCATCCTATTCTTCACGCTGGTACACAGTTATTACACAGTATTGTACAAATACATTAACAGCTGTTTGCTCCCAAACAATTTTAAATTCATAAAGAATTATTGTTAATTGCTCATGAAGTTTCACTGGAATTACTTGCATCATAGTTTTTTTACATTTGAAATTGGTTTTTGATTTAATATTGCTAAGCATGTGTTATGATCTATGCAAAAATGGGAGAAAATGTTTTGGGTTAAAAGAGCAGGGAGGCAGTCTCTCAGTCTCTGCAAAATGCCAGTACGAAATTCTAAATAAAAGGAAAACTGGATATTTCTTGTTTGTGAGGAAAATTCATATAATTTACAGTAAGAATGTAAGACAAGATTCTTGGTCCCATTTATGAAAAGAGCCGATTGTCCCAATGTATGACAACCAATAATAAAAATTATTGTTTTACAAACAAAACAAGGGTTGAAGACATGATGCACTAACACAGTGATAGTGAACTTATGACATGTGTGTCAAAAATGATATGTCATACATAACATTTTGGGTGACACATCAGTATTCACCAACAGCCAACAATTGCTATTCTTAAAAGCATACTCCATTCTAACACAATAGCTACAGAGGCCGCACCAAAATAGGGTGTGATCTTGTGTGGCCTCTGGACCCACCAGAAGTTGTGCAAAAAGCAAGCTGTTTTTGTGAAGCTTCCAGATTCTCCAAAAATGAATTTATTTTACTCAAATTTGATTTTAATAATTATTTGATTTTTTTTTTAATTAACACATGCCTGGGCTGTATATTTTAAAAAATAAATTAATATGTTAAAATTGTTTCTTCTTTATTTGGGGGTGACATGCTAGCAGAGTCATGTTATACATTTTTGACATTGCAAGCCCGAACCATTTGCCATCACTGTATTTAAACATCTAAGAGTAATATAACATGGTGCTAACAATGAGTAAATAATCTTTAACACAACACAAACAACATGGATCAGTGCTGCTGAAGTGTCACTGGACCTCTCAAAATCTGCAATGGCTGGATTGCCAAGACTTCTGGATCAAACTCCTCATTCTTTATTTTTAAAAAAACATCACGGGGATGAAAAATCAAGAAGAACTTAACTTTGCAGCTATTCTTGTACCTTACTCCAATTTCTGAATTGATTTAGCAGAGGGTCAACAACATCAAAATGGCAAATAGGTGACAGTAGCCCCACTCCTTTTTACACACATATGCAGCAGATATTAAAAAGGGGCGGAGCTTTGATCATCCAGCTGCCTGCTATTTTGATACCACTGAGCATCACTAGGCTCAGATATCTCTACAATTGTGGCCTAATTGTTGCTTAATCATTAATTGCTATTAGTCCAGGTTTGGTTGGCAGGCTACCACACTAAAACCAGGATAAAAATTCTCCTTCCAATGATGTCAGAGCATCCTCAGTTTGCATGATGAATGCTAATGGAAAGAAAAGTGGAGATCAGCCATCTTAATACTCCTGATGTTACTTTAGCCATGTAATAATGTTCAGACGAGACTGAACAAGGAAAAGATGGGTACAGTACAAACTCTTAGGCTTCCTTTTTCTCTTTTTCAAGTGTATGGATTTCAGTGAAACTTCTACCTTTACCTCTAGGCAAGGGCAGGCAAACTCCTCCTGGCTCAGGATAGCTAACCAAGGTTACGTCTCCAAACATAAACATTTGTATTTCCCTCTTAATGAGATGTACG